CTATTTAGAGATAACTCCATAATGGTAATAGGCTTAATTTATCATCATCATAATCATCATTCGAATAGGAGAATAGAATCGAGAGAAAACAAAACAAACATTAACTATTTCGATATTGATCAGTTGATGATGATTATTAGTAACTGAAATTTGAAAATTTTTTTACATTTTAAAAAATTCATTCAATTTTAGTTTGATTTTGTGATGATGATATTGAAAATATATTTGAATTTTGAATGAATAACACCGAAAACGTCCATTTTTTTTATTCTCATTGAAAAATCGAATTAACCTTATAAATTGTCAAAAAATTCATTTTTAATAAACCAAAATTGAAATTCTGAGGTTATAAGAAACAGACAAACAGATATTGTCCAAATCACACACGTTGATAATGAAAAGATGTTTGCTTCGATAAATGTTTTATTGAACTTTTGATTTTTTTTTATAAATGTTATGAATTTGAGTGAAAATTCTTCGTGTTCTGCTCAATTTATTCAACAAAAACAACCAAAAAATCACTAGAAATCATCAAATTCATCAAAACCAAAACAACATTCAATGTCTCAAACAACGGAAAAACAACGTAATAATCATCATCATCATAATCATCAACAACAACAAAATCATTCATCAAAATCACCAACATTATCAACGTCATCGTTATCATCATCGTCATCATCATCCTCTTCATCATCATCATCATCACCAACATTAAATTGTCTTAATAATAATAATAATTCATTAACACCAACAACTCCATCAAGAACCACACCACCACCATCATCAACAACAACAACAAGTGATAATAATGATTTTGTTCAAACCATTTATGGTATGACAACATTAAATGGTAATCATAATTTACATTTAATGGATAATAATGGTAATATATCATCATCATCATCATCATCGGCTGCAACAACATCATCAACGATTACAACAACCATAGGTGGAAATAGTCATCAAAATAATCATCAAAATCATCAATTAAATTTACATTCACATCGATTATTCAATGATAATAATGGTCATCTTCATCACAATCATCACAACCATCATCATTCAGGTAAATAAACATCGATAATCGATTATTGAATATCGATTGTGACAAGTAGTTTATTTCTATTACCACCATCACCATCATGGTTATTATTATTTGGTCATTATTTTAGTTTTACCTAAATCAAGTTTTTTTTAGTTTCAATCCGAATGATGATGATGATGAATAACATTAACATAAAAAACATCCATCCATCAAATTTTCCAACAATAAAAATGATTGACATCATGATCTTTGTATTAGAGAGTGATGAAAGAATGGAAAAAAGTCGAGAGAGAGTTGTAAAAAGAGAGCAGGTGTTGGTTATTTTTGAATGATTTTTGGTCCTGTTGTTTTGTCCGAGAAACCCGAGCAAGCGAAAACAACTGAATACAAATGGATAAGACCCGAATGAAACACCCGATTGTGTGGTTGTGTTGTTGTAGTTTGGTTATTTTGTTGTGTCAAATTTCTGGTTTGCTTTTAAATATACACATCGGGTATCTTGAATGGTTATATATTTCCATTAGTGATTAATATTACAATCAATCAACAACAACAACATCATCATTATCATTACACGGCAGGCGATCAAATTTTTACATTGAATTCATTCATTGAATGTTCAATATTCAATGAATTCAATGTTGTTCAAATCAACATGAATATCGGAGTAAGTGTATAACACTTACGGGATCAATAGAGAGTTAGTGAAAAAATAATCAATGTTTTCGGCTGATGTTTTTCGGATGATGACAAATTGGGTGACAACATTGATTGAGAGAGAATATTGAATATCACATTGGAAAAACTATGAAGCTAAACTAGATTTTATCACGAAGGCGAAAAACGAAACAAGTGTAAAAATTGAAAAATCCTGATCAGTTTTCATTGCATTGGTTTTTGGATTGATTTTTTTGAAATTTTTTACGAATTTTACGAATTTTTCTTTGTTTTTTACGAATTTTTCCGGTTTTTTTCCTGTTTTTTTTTTCTTCAGTATTTTCAACATTTCCAAATGTATTAAGTAATTCAGTTGCAGAAACTGCATTTAAAAAACTTAAAGTTGATCATCAATCATCAACACTTCTTCCACCACCACCACCACCACCACCTCCATCTTTATCATTACAACCACCACCTCCACCTACACCATCATCTGTTTTAAGTCATCTTGGTAACGGTGGACATCATCATCATCATAATCATCATCATCATCATTCATCATCATTAATGGCTGCTGCTTGTCTTACATCATCATCATCATCATCATCTACGATTCCATCATCGTTGACAATAAATTCACTGACAACATCATCAACATCATCATTGATAACAACAAATACAAATTGTCCACCAACACCAGCACGACGTAGACATCGTACAACATTCACCCAAGAACAATTACAAGAATTAGAATCAGCATTTGCTAAAAGTCATTATCCGGATATTTATTGCCGGGAAGAATTAGCTCGGATAACTAAATTGAATGAAGCAAGAATACAGGTAAGTGTTTTTATTTAACAGGTTTTTCATTCGTTTCAAAAACTTGAAAATTTAACCCCCAAAAAAATTTTGTTTCACCTCCTCCTTCCTCAACAAAAAAATAAGGTATGGTTTCAAAATCGTCGTGCCAAATATCGTAAACAAGAAAAACAAATACAAAAAGCATTAACAAATAGTACAATGTTACCTGCTTGTAATGGTGCTATGATGCGTAATATTTATCATCAAGCACAAGCTGTACAACAAGCTGCACAACAACAACAACAAAATCGTAATCATCAACATCAACAACAAAATAATAATAATCATCAACAACAACAACAAAATCATCTACAGCATAATCATTTACATCATAATCCACATCAATATCATCAATATGGTAATGGTGGTGGTGTTGGTGGTAGTAATATTATTGGTACAACATCATCATCGGCTACATCACGTCATTATCATACACCAATAGCTGCGGCTGCTGCAGCAGCAGCCGCAGCAAGTGCATATCAACATTCATTAAATGGACCAACCGGAACAACCGGAACAACACCATTTATTGGTATGACAACACATTCAGCTGCGGCTGCTGCAGCAGCAGCCGCAGCTGTTTCAATTAATCATCGACAACAACAACAACAACAACAACTTTCGGATATTGATAATGAAAATGATTGGTATAATAAAGGTTTTAATGCATTAAGAATGAATAATCCTCATCAACATCATAATAATAATAATAATAATAATAATCATGGTAATCAACCAAATCTATCATCATCAACATCGTCAACATCATCAACATCAGCATCATCAAATGTCACTACACCAAGTATACTTCAATATCAAACATGAAAAACAAGATTTCTTGAGAATTTTTTTTTCTCCCTTTGATTCTCCACAAATACCTCCCCTTCCTCCTCCTCCACTAGTCACCACCACCAACACCAACAAATATCTTCATATAGTCAACCAATTGATTTGGAAACCCCGAAAAAATATTTTCCAATTTTTTTTTTCTAAAATAAAATTAACACTTTGTTCTCTCGCCAGTATTCACATTGAATTAATTAATTTTTTTTTTTTTTTTTTTCGCTTTGTCGTAATTGATTTTCTCTCGTTGGATTCATTGATTTATGTAAAAAAGAAAAACTGAATAAAATTTTAAAAAAAAACCAAGATTGATTTTTTATTGAAAAAAACAATAAATTTTTTTTTTTTAAATTCAAAAGATTACGTCGTTTATTGACAACCCTGGAAAAAAAATTCGATCACGTGATCTTTTTGTTGTTGTTGTTGTTATGGTTATTCAATGGTTCGAATATTCGAAACGTAATTTGTTTTTTCTTTTTTTTCATCGTTATCGTTATTATCATTTTAAAGACACGATGAATAATCATCAGCCAAATGATTATTGTTATGATGATGACGGTGATGATGAATCGTTGATTGTAAATATTGATAAACAAAGTAATAATAAATATATGATGGCTGGATTTAGTCGATTAACACTTGGTGATGACGATGGCGATTCTAATTGTGATAATGATTATAATAATGACAACAATAATGACAATGACGATGATGATGAAATAATGAATATTCAAATTTCAAAATTTATAAATCATCATCATCATCATCATCAAAATCAAATTGATATTTCTAAATTATCGATCGATCAATTTAATAATTTTCTAATGGATCAACAACAGCAACAACAACAAAAACATTATCATCATCATTATGATTATGATAATGATAATCATCAACCAACAACAATAAATCGTTTATTTAAATGTCCAATATGTTTAAAAGAAATGAAAAAATTATTCTGTTCAAATTGTATACGAAATGGTGATTTTACACATTCGAAAAAAAATTTCCTAGAACGTTTTGCTGATAAAAAATTAAAATTTATTAAACTTAAAGAACAACAGTTAAGTGATTGTAATGATGTGGAAATTTTTTTGAAAAATGATGTTGCCAAAAATTCAATGGTAAGTTTTATCTATTCATTTCTGGAAATTTCTTTGTATTAATCAATTTTTACTTTGATTTACGCACACAGTTAATCAAAATCAACGAAATTGAACGTAACATACGTACAATGAAAGAAATAATGAATGAAAAACAATCAATTATAAATGATATGAAAAAATTATTAAATAAATATGAACGTGAACGTTTTGTTTATCAGAAAAAACAGATTGATATTAAAAATAAGTTAAATTATTGTAAAAATAATTTAGCAAAATTTAATTATAATCAAAATAATATTCATAGACAAAAATATTCAATTCAAAATGAATTGAATTTATTGATACAAAAACGTTTAAAACAATTAACAATGTTTGTATTTACAATCAAAGAAAATGTTTTCTTATCATCAACTAATAATAACAACAACAATCAACAACAACTACAACATTTCGATGATGATGATGATGAAATTAAACTTGTTGGTAATGATAATGATTCTGAAGCATTACCATTGCTTGATTGTGCTATCGATGATAACGATGATGATGATAATAATTCTGTGGCAAATAAAACAATCAAAAAGAAAACTGAATCAACGACTAAATTAATACGTTATAAAATTGTTGATTCATGGATCGATTTGAATGAAAATTATGAAGGTAAATTCTTAATGAAAAGTGAATTTGATTTAATCAATGTTTTTTTTGTCTCTATATAAAATCAATTTAGCCGGTACTCATACAAATGCAATCGAATATTTAGATCTTGGTGATAATAGTTTTCGTGATGATCATCGTCGTATTATGTCTGCTTTATCATATTTATGTTATTTAACAAATTTGTTTGCATTTATTTGTCGAATTCATTTGCCGAAAAAAATTCTATTCAGGTGAAGAAATTACATTATTAACCATTAGCCATTTGTTTAACCATCATTATTTTTTTCTCCAATAGTGAATTAACATGTAAACGAATGAAAAGAGAACAATTTCAACGAAAAATTGCACGATTAAATACAAACATTATGTTTTTATGTTGTTGGTATCGTGTTGATAATAATAATTATGAATTACGACCAAAACAATCGATACGCAATATAAAACTTGCATTGGATGTTGCTATTAATCGACAAACAAATTCGTATGTTTGATTTTTGATTTTAATTTCTCTTCATCTTATCTAATATTTAAAAAAAAACACTTGTAGTGATTATAATCATTTGGAAATTCGTCAAAATATTTTCCGTATGATACATAATGAATTATTATATGATGATGATAGAATTCGTATACCAAAACATAAAACAATTGATAATCTAGCAACGGTGATGATGATTGATGATGATACAAAAAATATTGGACAAGATTTTGAACAGGATTTTGATTTCATTGAAAACAATATACCGGATCTTAAATTTGAAGATCCTTCGGTGGAAAAACCGGCCGGTTTATTAGCCACATTAGTTTCATCAATCTATAAACGTACAACAACTATTTGAAATTAATTTAATTTGTTGTAAAAAATTCTTTTAAATTAAATTTAAAAATGTATATAAAAATCATTGAAAAATTACAAATATGAATTTGTTTTAATCTTTTTTAATTAAAAAAAAATATGAGCGATTTTAATAAAGCCTATGATGATTATGTATCGCTACAAATGTCTTTGCATCGAAAATATCGTGGTTATCGTCAACAACGAAAAACATCGATACCATCAAGAACACCAACAACAACAACAACAGTAATACATATGCCCGAACCATTATCATCATCATTTGTATCAACATCAACATCAAAATCAAAAACAAGAACACAACAAATACATAAACAAACAAACAATAACAACAACAATGACAACAACAAAGATATAATCGATCGTAATATAATTGCAAAGGAATTATTGAATAGAAATATACATTTATCATCAACACAATTTACCGGACCAAATGGTTGGATATTTGTTGGTAAACATACACCAACACAACGTAATATAGCAATAAAAGTATTTTTACGAACAGAATTGGAAAAAATGTCAGCATTAATAATAAAACGTAGTTTACCATATGAACGTTTATGTACTGAAGATCGTTTAGTACGTGTTTATGAAATGTTTTTATCTGGTCAAATACTTTATATTTTACATGATTATCACCGTTATGGTAATCTAGCACAATTATTATTTTCAAATAATCCAAATAAAAAATCATTGGATGAATATTATGCCCGACCATTATTTAAAACAATATTAAAAGCATTGAATCATATGCATCAGAATAAAGTTGCACATCGTAATCTGAAATTGGAAAATATCTTAATCGATGATAATCATCAACCAATATTATCTGATTATACATATACAATATTAGTTGGTGATATAAATAATTTTGATACAATAATGGCAACATCATTACCATATTTAGCACCAGAAATTATTGCACATATACCATATAATCCAATCGTAGCGGATATTTGGAGTTTTGGTGTTTGTCTTTATATTGTATTAACAAATTATCTACCATATACACCATATGTAAAAGCTGATGATAAACATAGATGTTTACAATTTAAAAATTCAAATAAATTATCTGATGATGTTAAAAAATTTCTAATAAAAACATTAGAATATGATGTTAATAAAAGAATGTCAACAACATCATTGTTAGAAAATTCATGGTTTAAGATTAGAAAATAAATTATAAATAAATTTTTTTTAAATTCACAATTTTTAATAACAATAATGATGTTCTTTCTTTCACGTTGTTGGTGATATTAAAAAATCAAAATTCGACCAATCGCTAATAGTATCATTATTTTTTACAAATTGTTCGGCTGTTATTGATCTCATTGATAATAGATCGGTTGTAGCCCAAATTGAAGCACCTAACCAACTAGCATAATTTTCTTTACATGGTAATTGATGAAATTGAAAATCATTTGAAAAATTTATCGGTTTATAACGTTCACTTTTGGTTGTTAGATATTCAATTTCTTTATAAAGACGATGTTTTAGGCCAGATATCATTGATGTACCACCAATTAATACAATATTTTGTGCTAAACGACGACGACAATCTAATGGACATTTCAGTATTGAATCAATAATCAATGTAGCTAATGTATGTTCTTCACCATACATTTCGAATAAAACTTCACAAACAGATTCACGTAATGAACCGGGAATTTGAAGAAATTTATTACCACCAAATGGATAACGTACTGATGGTGGTGGTCGTTTTATTGAACATTGAATTCTATCATCATCATCGGTTGATTCTTCTTCATCTTTATTGGTTAGTTTTTGTTGTGCTAATTGTGAACCACGTTCGAATGTTGTTACAAAACAAGTACGAAAAATAATATCTTCAAGATTCGATTCATCAATAGTTGTTTCATTTATTTCAACATTTTCACCATCTTGATGGAATGTTGGTTTTCGTCGAATTAATTCATCCATTATACGAAGATGAAGTGATTTACCACCTAATGGTGCAAATTGTACTGAATCAAGTATGGTAATACCTTCATAAATTGGTATAGCTATTGCTTCAGCATAACCAATATCAAATACTAATGCAGTGTTGATACCTAATGTTGCCATAACCACTACATGATTCGGGACGAATAAAAGCGATGGAACATTGAAACGTTTGAAGAAAACTTCGGCAACTTGTTGACGAAAAATTTTTTCCGAAAATATTGATTCAACAATAACTACACGACGATCTTTAGGATTGGCAGCCAAATATTTGAAATAAATCATTTGGATGAATTTTTCCAGTGCCTGTATTAGCAGATCAACATCTTTAATCTGGAAAATACGCAAGGTCTGTATGAGAAAAAACAAAAGTTAACCATGACAAGAATTTAAAAGCAAAAAGAAAACAAAACAAACTTTATCAATTGAATTTAAATGAATTTCGCTTGGAATTATAGCACGTGGACTTGGTTCGGATGTAAAACCACATTTTGTATATGCAGTACCGAATTCAAATATGACTGGATTTTTTTCCGATTGTAATGTATCATAAACAGGCATTATTACTTTTCTTATAATTTTGAAAGAAAATTTTAAAATTTGAAAAAAACAAAAAAATCAAAAAAAAAAACAAAAAAATCAAAATCAAAAATCAAAAAAAAATCACTCGCGAAACAAATGTCCATTCATAAATGACAGGACACATTGTTTTTTTTTCAAAAAATTTTGACAATAAAAAAAAACCTGTTGAACATTTGCATATTTTGTATTGTTGTTGTTCATCACAAACACACAAAGCATCTCTTCACTCTGCATCACACACCGAGAAGGTATTGTGTCATTAAATTGAAGAAGACGACGACGGCAAAGAAAAGAAATTCCCTCAATAGAAAAACCCAAACACTCATCATTGCAAAAATCAATCATTTTTTCCTCATTTTGACACGAATACTGTTGTACCTTGAGCGAACGAATTTTCCAACAAAAACCGAAACAAAAAATGCAATCAACCTGGAATTTTATCAAAAATAATAAAAAAACAATATTCTTTACTACATCGGCGATTGTTGGTTTTATTGGTTTACGAAAATATTTTTCCAATTTTGAACAACAATGGCAAAATTCACAATCAAGAAATTTTGTTTCTGAAGTAAGAAAAAAAGGTACATATTTTGATGATGCATTAAATATCGGTACGAATATGGCTAATAAACAATTTAGTTTATTAATAAAACGTTTGAAAGAAATGTTTAATATTGTAAAATTATTGGAACAAATTAAGGAAGCACAATCGAATAATGTGGTGAGTATATTTTGTAAATGAAAAATTGTAAACAAAAAATAAATTTTTACTTTCTTAATTTCAGTCACCATCCGAGCAGCTAAAATACTATGAAGAATTGAAAATTGAAATATTTACCTATATTATTGCTGAAATTTATTCAATTGCATTTCTTATTACATATCTTCGTGTACAATTATCAATGATATCGGGTGTTATGTATCATGAAAATCAAATCAATCAATCAACAACGGTAATGAGCGGCGGAAATCTACTCAAAGATACTACATCACGTTATTATATGTTTATCGGTTTAATGAAAAATTTTCATCAAAATGGTATCGAACATTTAGTGGATAATGTTCGGATATTAGTAAAAAAATCATTTAAAAATTTAAAAATAACCAACAATGTTACATTGAAAGATTTATTGAAAAATTTTAATGAAATTAAATTCAATTGGAATGAATCAATGGAACGTTTGATTGAAGAAAATGTACTTATTGTTTATCGTTTGGAACGACAATCATTTAACGATAATGACGAATCGATTGATAATAATGAAAATCTCAGCAACAACAAAATATTAAATGAATATAAAGCATGTACCAAATTTATTGATGAAATGATTGATATAACAAAATTATCAGATTTTCGTATGGTTTTAGAGAATTGTATCGATATTGGTTATTCAAATCTATTTGATTTTATTAACGAATGTTTTATACAATTTGAACGACAAAAGCAACAATCATCAGCAAACAAATCAATGATGGAACAACGTTCATTTATTAATCCACATCAGATTAATATTTTATTAATTAAATTATTACCATTAATATGGCAACAAGTACATAATAGTGATGATGATGATAATGATGGTGGTCATAATAAAGATAATAATCAAATGATTAACGAATTTTGTGAACAAGAAAAACATAATCGTAATGCATTACTGGTACAATATTTACTTTGTTCAGATAGTTTAACATGTTTTGCTGCAAATATTTATGAAGCATTTTGTAATGAAATGCCAAAATGTAAAACAATCAATCAATAGTGAATTTGGATTGATTAATATCACAGGAAGATATTTCGAAAAAAAACAAACATATTTTATGACTGTTTATCACTATAATCTTCCAATAAACCATCCAAATGATTATTTAATTTACGGAAATTTGATTTACGTTTTTTATTATCTTTACGTTTTTGTATTGGTATTGTTTTACGTATATTCATATCTTGCATTGAGCTTATGCCATGATTTTTAAGATATTCTTCAATTTTTGTTTCATCCATTCCTTCCACTGCTATTGAACGCCATGCTTTTTGAAATTCTTCATCAACATTGAAACTTAATGATAAATTATTAATAAATAATATTTTTTTCTTATCAACCGGCCTAGTGATTACAATTAATTGATTTTTTTCCGATAAAAATTTTATAATTCTATCAGCATTTGGTAATGATTCTTTAATATCTTCATAGGATATTGCACCCAAACCACGTGAATCATATTTTTCCAATAATCTTATCAATGATTTACGATCTCTTATATTAAATATTGGTTTATATGAATATTTACCATTATCATTAATATTGATACGTGGATTATCTGGTAATGCTTCGGTTAATAACCATTGTTTTTGTCGGGGACTTAAATCTAATTGATTTGTTTCATCCAATAATTCATCGAATGTTAATGCTTCAGAATCACCATTTAGATAACGATCTTTCATTGAATTAACTATCTTTGTTAGAATGGAAAAATTATGCAATGGTACGGATGATTTTGTTGGGAAAAAATCTCTTGAACTAGCCGATGATGATTCAAATCGTTTTCTTTTAGCTGATGATGATGTATCATTATTTTTATCATTATTATCATCTTGTTGTTTACGTTTTTCCACCACAGGCAATGCAAATGCTTTTTTCATAAACAATTCACGTTCTTTTCTTAATTGATCCATGATTTTCTCGGGTTTTTGTTGAAAATTTTACGAAAGATAAAGATTTTTTCGGTCAGAATTAAACAAATCAAAACAAAACAAAAACAATCACTCAAAACATTATTCATAAAATACAGTACACAATATGTTTTCTTCAAAACCACCAGATGGCAATAAAATTTCTATAATTTTCACTCGACAATTTCCGCGTTTTTCTTTTGTTGTTAATTTTGAAATTTTTTAAAATTTTTTCAAAAAATTAAAATAAAAATCATTCAAAACATCGACGATGGTCATTTTGTTTTCATCTGCATTTGAATAATAGAAAAAGAATGACAAAACGAAAAAAATTCATTCATCCATATCGATGAACAAAGGTTTTTTTCCCCCCAAAATTCAATTCAATTCATTTAACATTCGATTCTTTTCATTTTATTAGATTTTCATTTGAAAAAAACTGTTTTAAAATCGGATTTACATTTTTAATTAAGTTTTAAGGTTTTTTCCACACAATACACAAATATGTGCCCTTTTTTTGTTGTTAAATAACAAAATGTTCCCGGTTCTTTTAATAAAAATGATGATGATCGATGAAGCGATGAAATTGGCCCCAAAAATTTTTCTTTGTTTTGGCTATTTCCACCCACCCATTAACCATTCGAAAAATAAAAACACGGATCACGGATTCTTCATTTAAACGACAACCAAAAATTTGTCAATCGACTAATAATAATAATCATCGTTTATTATGGCTCCATATATGATGCAACAACAACAACAACAAAAAACGAATTTATCATCCGGGGAGGAAAGAATCCTGGTCTCTCTCTCTCTCTCTGTTTTCAAGTATGTTTCATTCATTCATTCTTGAAAAAAATATATCCGGGATAATACTTTTCAATTGGTGAGGATTTTCACTATCATCACCATTATTATTATCATTCGATGCATTTCACCTGATTTATTATTATGGATGCATCATGCTTTTAGCTGGAAAAAAAAGAAGATGATAATTTTTGTCATTTAACACATACATACACACACTGGACATTGGATAATAGCCAATTCTGCTTTGTTTTTTTTATTATTATTATTCGTTTTTCAGTCAAAATGGTAATTCTTTGTCGTTTCCATTGTTGTTGGGTTATTATTGTGAAGCGTGATTTTGCATTCATTAAAAATCATCGATAAATGTGTGTTTGAGTGTGTGTGGCAGGCTAATAATGTGTCATTATCATTCATTTTTCCGTTATAATCAGATCATCCTTTTTTCTATTCGGGTGGCATATAATGATGAGGGGGAGAGAGAGAATTTCGAAAAAGTGAGGAAATTCTGATTTTCGATACAAAAAAAAAACACTCATCTGGCCATTTGAATTCTAATTCTACTCTATTGGGTCTGTGTTGTGTGTATGTGTGCCTTATATTTATTGAAAAAGATCAAAACAGAATGAGAGAATTCGAATATTTAATCCTGTCAATTGATATGGTATGGGGTGATCCTGGAACACACACACACACATTTATCGTACAAAGTATTAAAAACAAAGTGTACAGAGATTTAAGTTTTTTTTTCAAATATAAAAAACTGACAACCAAAACTACCAATCATCATCATCATCATTTTTAGCGCCTTATGTTTCAAAACAAAAACAAAAACAATCGTTTATATCGATATATCCTCTCACTCGCTCACTCGCTACAATCGATTGTTTGTTGCCCATCTAATTCTAAATCTCTATTCTGTGTTTGATCACAACAGTGATTTCCTGAAAACCAAAAAAAAAAAAAAAAAAATCAATGAAACATGAAACAAAATACAGAAGTTTCAGAAGATTATTATTATTATTTCCTTCATTCTTTTTGCGACAATTCATTAGTTTTCTGTATTTGATAAAAACATTTTCCATATTGTTGATGATTGACATTAACGAATTATTCTTCTTTCTTCTTTGGCTATTTGAACCCCATATGTTTCATTATTATTATTATTACTTTGGTGTATTTGGATTTTTTTCATATAAATAAATCCTGTTCCATGTTCTGTGTGTGTTCCAGGAAAAAATCTGGGTTCCTCATCATCATTTAGATTGAAATTGAATTTGAATTTCAAGTTTTTTTGCTTGCTTGCTTGATTCTAACTAATTCTCTCCTCCGATTCATTCATTCATTTATCCAAAAATCATTCGTATCTTGTCTTTTTTTTCATTTTCGTCGAATTAATAAAAAATGAATTTGCCTGTGTGTGTGCTGAATGGTTATCGATATGATCATCATAGTTTTTTTTTGTTTCGTGCCGAATGGAAAATGATTCCAAAATTCGTTTTTATTATTATTGAATGTTCCCACCATTCAGATTACGATTAATAATTATCCAATACAATGCTGACGATCTTGATGATTTAATTGTAATAAACTTGATTAGCTTTTTTCATATATATTTTTCTGCTTGTTTTGATCAACAGTAGCGCGATATAGTCGATTCTCGATTGTCATTTCAACAAAAATATTGCGTGACATTATTAGACAACAACAACTATATCTACTGCAGTAGTCAGTCGGTGTGTGTATGTATCAATTGACAATCAAATTTAGGTTTTTGTTGTTGAAAGAATCGTAATGAATGAAAACCAACAGTGAAACTATCATCAACAGATTCTGTTACGTATTGCTTATTGATTGAAAATAAATTTCATTTCAATAAAAATAAGGTCAAAAATATTGACCGAATGGAAAATAGAAATTCGTTTTTTGTCCAGAAATTCGTTCTTCTTTTTGACCAGATTATCGACGGGTGATTATCAAACGGCAGCCATTATCACGGTGTTAATGGTGGTGGTGTTTAGATGCAAAAAATGAAAATGAAAATGATTGATTGGTCATGGTTGCCATCACCATAAATAATAATAATAAATCTGTTAAAATAGTCGCGAAAAAGAAAACTTTTTTTTGGCCATTTCTTTTCCCCTTTTCAACAACAAAAGAAAAAATTGCCGGAAATTTTTCGACTAGAATTTCCGGTGAAAGAAAGAAAACTTTCCAGAAACATGAAGCAAATGCACAAACACAGAGACAGGAAGAAAGAATCATTGGCCACACAATTTGTTGTTGTTGTTGTTTATGTCGCCCATAATAAATGAGAGAATATAGGCGAAAAACGAATGAATGAAAAACATCACTAAAAGTGACAACACACACACAGAAAGAGAAAGAATGAAAGAACAAAGTTTTTAATATGAAACGAAGCAAACAAACAAAAAAAAACGAAAAAAGGAAAAAATGTCAACCATCAACGACAACAACAACAACATTATCAACGACGATAA